TATTTTTATAAAATTATATTATATTATATAAGGGACTTTTACTAACAGCATATTAACGGTTTTGTTATCAGACTTTTTATTATTTGTCAGGAACGACACTGAATGGAGATAAAAGAATAACAGAGGATATTTGGGGAAACTGTCAACATGATTTATTAGGATTTCCAGTCAACTGTTTTCCTTTGTCCCAGCTGCAGCTCGTTACGTTGTGTTTTACCTGATCCCATGCCGCTCAGCACGGCCCCGTCGCTGACCCCGGAAGCGTTGGTGTTATTGGACGGAGCGTTGTGGGGCGCCAGGCTGGGCAGGAACAGACACCTGCGAGAGACACCGGAGGAAGGGTTAACCACGGGAAACACGTCAGCCTACATGTGTGCTTATTGTTAGCAAAGAATCAGAGCAGGATTACTGCAGCTGTCTGACTCCCTCTCTGTAATAAACTGCTTTAAAAAAACAGCTTTGTACTATAATATGGAAATTTCAACTGCCTAAAACCCGAAGCTGAATTATTTATGACGAGTGCGGAGGTGGGAGGAAAGCTCCGTTTTTATTTCTGTAAAAGAAATCTGCTCATAGACGCAGCACAAGGTCAGGATAATGTGCTGTATTTTCTAAATGATTACAAGAAAGGAAGAAAGCTGCAGATGGAGATAAGTTATACAATTAATTCACAAACTCTCGTATTGTTTAATGCTTCTGAAGCCGCAGAATCACCAAAAGACGCCGTGATAAAAAGTAGTTTCATTAAAGCTCAACCAAACATAAAATCCAGTGACATCTTTAAAAGCACCACAGAATTTTAATTTAAACCCATCAATGAGCTGATGGGATGTTTAGTTTTCTAGCGGGACAGGGAGTTCAGGGGTCAGAGCTGGATTTAAAACGTTTTTTCTTCTTTCCCATGCAGACACATTGTTCTAGTTTTCATTTAACGAGCAGTCTGTCAAACTAACGAGCACTCCGCCCTGATCCTCCAGACCAGCTCCTGGACTCCTCATCGCTCCTGAAACAGCTGGGAGGTGTGCAATCATGTGTCATTGTGTGTGATAGAGAGGTTATTATGTGTGTGTGTTTGTGTGTGTGTGTGTATGATTCCTAACAGCAGCAGTAGCATCAATATTTCATGCTGACAGATGGGAGCGAGGGGCGGGGTTGAGTGTGTCTGAGTGTTTCCTCCTGTGTTTGTGCCGAGCAGAAAGTGGGACACTGCCGTGTTTTCAGGAGAATCTCCATCTTCTGCTCCTGCAGCGAGGAAGCAGCGAGGATAAGAAATGGAGGATCGTGAAACGTGAGAACTGTGAGGTTTCCAAAACGGAGGGAAAAGAAGCCGAGTCTGAACGATACTCCATAACTGTAGGATCCATTTGTCTGAACTTTGCAGAACGTTTATAACAGGGGTGGGCAGTCCTGGAGGGCCGCAGTCCTTCATGTTTTATAAGTTTCCTGCTCCAAAACACCTGATTCAGTCACTGAACTACCTCTTCATGTTCTGCAGTACGGAGGACCGACACTGATATAATTAGAAATAAAATCAGAAATATATAAATAAACCACTAAATAAATACATACATTTAAAATGCACCAAGTAAATTAAAAAAGAAC